CCACCTGGTTTCGAGACGTATGGAAGCTGCAGTCGGGAACTTGGATGCTGGAGTTCAATGATGGCGGGCCGTGTGGGAGGCAGGCCCACGTGGCCGTGTGGGACTCAAGCACGGCTGCTCTTTGGGTGCACGGAGGTTGGAGTGGTTCCATCCTGTTGTCGGACTTGTGGCAGTACAACTCCCGAACAGGCAGATGGCAGGAGTTGGCAGTCTTTGCGTCCTCCGCACCCTCCGCACGCTCGCATCACGTGGCGGTGTGGGACGGGACCAGTGAAGCACTTTGGCTTCATGGGGGTTACAGTGAGAGTCTGCTGGGGGACCTGTGGGCATATGATACCTCCTCACTCAGTTGGACAGAGATCGCCTTTGAGGGCGGGCCCACAAGGAGGTCTGGCCACACCGCAGTCTGGGACGACGCCAACCGTGCCTTCTGGCTGCATGGCGGCAACGACGGCTTCCTGAGACGGGATCTTTGGCGATTCGAGCCTGAGACGAAGTTCTGGAGTCTAGTTGCCGACCACAGTGGTCCTTCAGGTCGATGGTCTCATGTGGCTGCCTGGGATGGCAGAAGCCAGACAATGTACCTCGGACTTGTCGGCTAATGTCTCGATGTTTCTAGGCGTTGCCGCTTTTCTCGGCTTTGCGGCGTGTTGGGAACCACCGTGGCAGTGTATGATAGTGTGTGGAGAAGCACAGATGCACGAACAAGCAAAACAATCACGGCCCAGGTGAGCCGGCAAGCAAAAAACTCACAATAAAGCTAGTAAAGCTAGCAAGACGTTTGCCGGATACGCTTTATGTGTGGTGGCTTGAGAAACGTCCGGAGATGCACGTTCCCGACAGGAGAAGGGACTTTCCTCAAGTGCGAAACAACAGTGACCGACCTTGCTTAGGCCAAGAAGCTTCAGCCTAAGGTGACTAGGCCAGTATAAGGTTAAAAATTTAACCTACACCCACCCTAAACTCTTAACCCTTAACCCTTAACCCTTAACCCTGAACCCTAAACCCTATACCCTATACCCTAAACCCTAGACTCTAATCCTAAACTCTAAACCCTTAACCCTGAAATCTTGCACCCTCGGAGCCCCACGTCCCACACACCTGAACCCGTTGCAGCGAAAGCCAAGGTACCCTTAAAAGAGAAAAGATATGGGGGTTTCCGAAATAGGGAGTACCCTTTTTCTTAGGGCTCCTTTTAAGAGGATTCTATTCTATTTGGGTCAATACAAGGGGTACCCTATTTTGGGAACCACCCCCCATATGTGACCCCGAACTTGCGTACGGGGGTCGACTCTGCGTGTCCGGTATACCCATGTATTACCCTTTAAGAGCCTACCCTGTTAACGCTACGGGGGTTTCTCTGGTTCCACTTAGAAGCTGGCCTTGTTGAGCTGCAAAGCGAGGTATGTCCATGGGGGATACAATGGCAGCCTGTGCGGAGATCTCTGGTCCTTCTGGGTCACCACGACCTCCACGACGTACACTGCAAGCCAGACCTCCAGTTCGACCAGCACCTCAACCACCAGCAGCAGCTCCACGACCGGCTCCACAACGACACGGACCTCCAGCACCAGCCTCTCAGCCACTTCGAGCTCAACGAGCAACACAGGGTCATCGACGAGCAGTACATCCATCTCCAGCAGCAGCACCACCCACACATCCAGTTCAAGCAGCACTTCACAGACGAGTGTCAGCAGCAGCACGAGCACATCGTCCACGTCCAGTTCGACAAGCAGTAGGTCCAGCAGCCAAACGTTCAGCACCAGTACTAGCACCACCAGCACTAGCACCACCAGCACTAGCACCACCAGCTCTAGCAGCGCCAGCACAAGCTCCAGCGTCACTGTGACATCCCGCACATTCAGCACCACGTCGGCAACGCACACAACATTTACGCACACTTTCAGCACGCAGACCACAGGTACGTCCAGCTCCTCCACCGCTACTACAGTCACAACCACGAGCACAACTACCTTCATTGTTGCCCTTCCTGTGCTTGATTGGCTTCTAGAGAACGTCATGTTCGTTGTGAGCAGTGCCGTGATCCTGGCTCTCTGCATTCTCTGCAACTACATGCTCTGTCGGTGTGGTCGCTGTGGTTGCTGCCACTGTCTCCGTCTAGTCCAGGTTGTTCCTTGCATCCAGGCGCTGGATGATCTGATGCCGCAAACCTTGCCCGACAGAGCCAAACCCCCTCCTCCGGCTCCCGCGTTTGCGCGGCCCGTCCCCTGCAGATCGCCGGCCCCTTCCTTGGCCGTGGTGGTGCACTTCCAGGGTGCCCCGAAAAGCAGCCCACGAGTTGGGCTGGTGCCAGGATCTCCAGCATGGCCGCCAGGTGGCAAGCGGCCGCAGTGGAAGGAAGCACAGGTACTGGACGGAGCCGGCTTGCCCACTTTGCTCCAGTCGAGGACCCATGCAGGCCAGCGACTTCAGCGCCGGCCACCGCAGTCCCAGCCAGCCCAGCCGGGCACACAGCCCGCAATCCCGCACGCGCCCCCCAACACCGCCCCGAGTGCCCCGAGCTGCGGCACCCAGCTTGAGCCTGCCAAGCGCCGACCTTCCCAGCGAACGGTGCCCTGCAAGTTCCCTTGTCTTGTCCCGCTTGCAGCTCGAAGCCGCCCCCGTGCAAAACTGGTGCCCGAATCGCTGCCTTGGCCCGCATGTGCCGGGCCGCCCAGGGAGCCAAAGCCGCTCCCCGCATTGGGCGGGCTGCCCGACCCCACACCCGTGCTCCCGTGTGCAGAACTAAAACGCCGGCCGACGCGCAGCGACCCCAACAGACGCCCCAAAGACGTCGCACCCTTGGTCAGAGTGAGGCGGAAGCGGAGGCCGCACGCCGCACCCGCACTTATGCTGGTGAGGTTGGAGCCGCCCACTGCCAGCACCTCGGCAAGAGCAAATGACAACAATCGCCTGCTCCTGCGCCCTCAGCTTGACCGGCCGGTACTTCGCAGCCGGCCTCGCCTGCGCTTGGTCCCGCCGCATACGCTGCACCCTCCCCCGACCCTGCGGGAGCCCCGCAGCCTGACCCCCCGCAGCCGGGGCCTCGGGCGTCGGCGGCCCAAGCCCCTGGTGGTGAAACGCTGGAGCCCGCCCTGGAGCTGGAGGAGCCTCCAGCCCGAAAGTGGCCCAGGGCCAGGGGACTACGAGCCGGAGCAGGTCCCCTTTGACATGTACCCAGCGCAGCGGCTCTTATGGCACCAGCAGCAAAAGATGCGGGTCGAGAAGTACAAGCACATCTGGCGGTCGCTTCCCAAAGCCGGAAGCCGAAGCAGAACGGCTTCCTCACCACCCCGTCCGATGTCGCCCTGAGCTTCCTGGGGGGGGGGGGGGTAGGGGTTCAGGTTTCAATGCTTCTACAAGCATATCCCAAATCCAAAGCCTTTCAGCAACCCTGCAAGTGTTCCAAGCTTTGTCAGGGTTGAGGGCTTCTTGTGTAGTTAGTTCGATTAGTCAGTTAGATACGAGTGCGGTCTCCGCTGGAAGGCTCAAGAAGACCTTGGGCTCGAAGAAGGTTCCAGGACAGCCAATGTGCCGTCCGCAGAAGCACCGTGAACCCGTTTTACGGCTTACTTTTACACTGAAAGCAGGGCAGCTGGTTCCCTCGCACGCCGCGCCAAGAGAACCTGAGCTGGGCTTGAAAGCGACAGTACTCCCCTCCTCCTACTTGGAGGTTCATGGTACTTATTTACCAAATATAACTTTACTTATAACCCACTTATAAGCCCCCGAAGTTCTTTGTTTGGGTTATAAGTACAGCTATAAGTACAGCTATACTTGGTGAATAAGTGCCATGAACCTCCAAGTAGTCCTCGTGGTGGTCCCCATAGAATTCATACACTATGAGAATGTACAGGTGTTGTGGCCCTGTTCTTGGGGGGAGGAGATTACAGCTGTCCAGACCCCTCAACTTTTCGACGGTTGTGGAGCTCAGGGCGGGATGTCCACAGCCTTGCAGGAAACTCCTTGAGAGCCTTGGACCCTGAACCCTGATGTGGGGGTTTACGATAATCAGGGACTCCTGCTACAGACCCCCCAAGTCCTAGGATCCCCTGAAAATCAGACCCCAATCAGGTACCCCTTTAGGGTTTAGACCTACTTGGAGGTTCATGGTGCTTATTAACCACTTATAACTGTACCTATAACTGTGTACTTATAACCCAAATAGGGCACTTAGGGGGCTTATGAGTGGGTTTTAATCACAGTTACAATTGGTTAATAAGTACCCCTAAACCCTAAACCCTAAACCCTAAACCCTAAACCCCAAACCCCAAACCCTAAACCCTAAACCCTAAACCCTAAACCCTAAACCCTAAACCCTAAACCCTAAACCCCAATTGGTTCATAAGCACCATGAACCTCCAAGTAGCACCCAAAATCGCTGAGCCCTCCACGGCTTGGTCTCGGTCGCGGCTCGAAGCACGTGAAGCGCCAGATTCAGGGCCCAAGAAGCCCTCAACCAAAAGCTAAAAGCTAAACCCTAAACCCTAAACCCTAAACCCTAACCCTAAACCCTAAACCCTAAACCCTAAACCCGAAACCCCAAACCCTAAACCCTAAACCCTGCAAACCCGAAACCCCCTTAAGCCCTGCAAAGCCCTGAGCCGTCGACCACTCCCGAGCCCTGCATGCTTCCGGAGTCCAAGCCCAAAACCCCTAAACACCCCTGAAGCCCCTAAGCCCTAAAGTTTGGGTGGTTTAGGGTTTAGGGTTTCGGGTTTAGGGTACACTACGCCCAAACCCCAAAGCCTCAAGCCCCCCCGAAATTCTACAGCCACACTTTCCCAGGGCCCTTGCGAAGCCTTAGAGAATCCCTTAAACCCTGGAAACCCTTCTTCTAAACCCTAAACCCTGAACCCTAAACCCTAAACCCTAAACCCCAAACCCTAAACCCTAAACCCTAGACCCTAAACCCTAAACCCTAAACCCTACACCCTAAACCATAAACCCTGAGCCCTAAACCCCAAACCCCTGGACGAACGACCCCTGCTCCAGCAACGATGGCCGCGTCAGGCCAGGCGCGCCAGGCGCGGCGTTTAGGCATGTGTGGGTACCCTATAGGGTTTAGGGTTTAGGGCTTAGGGCTTAGGGTTTAGGGTTTAGGGTTTAGGATTTAGGGTTTAGGGTTTTTAAACCCTAAAGCACCCCCAAAGCCTTCCTATAGCCCCAAACGTCCTGACCCCCCCCCCCCCTCCAAAAATAGAATCCTAAACCCTAAACCCCCAAACCGAAAACAGCCCCATAAAGCCCCCTATAACCCTAAGATCCCAAACCCCAAACCCCAAACCCCAAACCCCAAACCCCAACCCCAAACCCCAAACCCCAAACCCCAAACCCCAAACCCCAAACCCCAAACCCCAAACCCCAAACCCTAAACCCTAAACCCCAAAAATCTTCAAAATCGCTGACAGGATGGTCCGGGCTTCGCATCCTGGGATCCTTTCACGGACCCGACGGATGCTAAGGAGGCCTTGGTAGCCCTAAACCCTAAACCCTGAACCCTAAACCCTGAACCCTAAACCCTAAGCCTTAAACCCTAAACCCTAAACCCTAAACCCTAAACCCTAGACCCTAAACCCTAAACCCCTAAACCCCTAAACCCCTAAACCCCTAAACCCCTAAACCCCTAAACTCTAAACCCCTAAACCCCTAAACCCCTAAACCCCTAAACCCCTAAACCTCTAAACCCTAAACCCTAAACCCTGAACCCTAAACCCTAAACCACTAAACCCCTAAACCCCTAAACCCTAAACCCTGAACTTCAGTGGTACCCTTACATGTGGGGTCCGGAAGGGAGGCCCGGAACTCCAAGCCCCCAGGAGCTTCGGAGCCCTTTACAAGGGTTTAGGGTTTAGGGTTTAGGGTTTAGGGTTTAGGTTTGGGGTTTGGGGTTTAGGGTTTAGGGGGCTGAAGGGGGGCATGTAACCCAAGGTTCGCGACTGCTCCCCGCTACTCCCAAAAAGGCTCCCTAAGCTTCCCTAAAGGTTTCCCAGGTACCTACCCAGATGAGCATAAGAACCCCTAATTATAACTTACCCGCTTGTTGTTGGTTCTGGTTCCCTTTTACAGCAGCCAACCACAAAAAAAAGGGTACCCTGATTATGAGATGGTTGCTGGGCTGTCAAGTGGCTGTTTGTCCGGGGATTTGCTATGTTAGGGGCTCTTTCGGGAATCGGGCTTGTGAGGTGCTAGTCAGGGGTTTAGGGCTTAAGGGTTTTGCGGTTTTTTTTTGGGTTTTAGGGGGTGTAAGGGGTTTAAGGGGTTTTAGAAGTTTGGGCTTTTTGGGGCGACGAGTGTTAGGGTGTTTGTGGTTTTTCTGGGTCTTTCTGGTTGGTGAGAGATTGTTTGGGTTCGGTTACACCCCCCCCATACAGTCGCATTGGCTTGATGCGGAAGTACCAGGAATAGAACTCGAATTCGGTTTTAGGGATAGGTCTTCGTGTACAGGCCAAGGGTTGTAGGGTTATAGGGGTCGAGAGTCGAGTGTTGTTGATTTTTTTCTCCACCCAAACCCTAAACCCCCTAAACCCTAAACCCCCTAAACCCTAAACCCTAATTCCTAAACCCTAAACCTAAACAAAGACCGCCGCTTTCCCCAGCTAGCGCTGGCGGCGGTCGCCACCGCGTCCCCACTGGTGGGTGCGGTGCGTCCACGCGACGGGCTTCAGCCCTGGTGGATGCCGGCTGGATCCGTCCGGTGAGGACGCTCGACGCTTGGAGCTAAGTGAGCCTGCGTGCAGGCGACAGTCCTGCTCTTAGCACCGAAGCTGATTACCCCAAACCCCCCTGATTTGGAGTGCGTCCTAGGATTTAGGATTTAGGATTTACGGTTTAGGATCTAGGATTTAGAGTGTAGGATTCAGGGTTTAGGGTTTAGGATTTATGATTCAGGATTTAGGATTTAGGGTCTAGGTTTTAGGATTCAGGATTTAGGTGTTAGGGTTTGTTGTGATATGGCGCATAAGCTGTGAAAATTGGGATGCAGACTCGCTTCGGCAGCTTCGTGAAAGGCGAGGAGCAGCCATGGCCCGATAGTGGAGGTCCGTCTAGAAATTTTTCTCCCAAAACCACCCAAACTTATTCCTTTTAAACCCTAAACCCTAAACCCTAAACCCTAAACCGTAAACCCTAAACCGTAAACCCTAAACCCTAAACCCTAAACCCTAAAGCCTAAACCCTAAACCCCAAACCGCATGACAGACACCCGAGCCAGGGCCGGACGACCCACTACGAGCTGGTGGCCCCTGCTGTGAAGGCACGTGGGGCGTATTTCAGCTCCCGCCGAAGCTTCATATGGTCCCACGCCCGAAACCCTAAACCCTGAACCCTCAGCCCTAAACACAGAACCCTAAACACAGAGCCCTAAACCCTGAACCCTAAACCCTAAACCCTAACCCTGAACCCTGAACCCTGAACTCGAACCCTATGGCCTAGACCCGACACCCTGAACTCAAAATGAAGGGTCTCGCTTTGGGTGCCCCAAGGCACCAGGGCTTTTGTGGGATTTTGGAGGCCCTGTTATCACAGTGACCGGCAGGAAGCACTATAGTGTGAAGAACGGACCAGTTGACTTCGGAGACCCCACCCCAAACCCTACACAGCAAACCAGTAAACAGGGTTTGGGGGTTAGAGGTTGTACTACACTAGCAGTCCTCAATGGGGATTCTAGCACCCCCTATTATAATCCCTATGAAGGACTGCTAGTAGAAAGGGAACATCCCAAGTTAGAGGGTTGTTGTGAACCTAAACCATAAACCCTAAACCCTGAACCCTAAACCCTAAACCCCAAACCCCATACCCTAAACCCCAAAGGCCCAAACCCCTGCCTTGCTGCCTGATCAGCAAAGACAGACGTCATTGAGCGTGAGTAGGTTTTGTTTACGGTGCAAGGGTAAACCCTAAACCTCAAACCCTAAACCCTATATCCTAAACCCTAAACCCTAAACCCTAACTTTAAACCCCGCAACCCTAAACCCTAAACCCTGAACCCTAAGACCAAAGGTAGATTGGCTCGGGGGCTAAGGGGTTAGGGGTTAAGTTCAGGGGCCTTGGGATTTAACTAAACCTTAGACCCCAAACCCTAAACCTTTGTTCGTACACGCAATAAAAGCCTAGCCTAAACCCTAAACCCTAAACCCCAAACCCTAAACCCCAAACCCTAAACCCGAAACCCCAAACCCCAAACCCCAAACCCCAAACCCCAAACCCTAAACCCTAAACCCTAACCCCGAGAAGCACCCGAATCAATGCTGACAGGAGTCTGCCGAATGGGATCCCTTCGAGGACCGAACTGTGGGTTTAGGGTTTAAAATAGGGGTTTAAGTTTAGGGTTTAGGGTTTAGAGTTTAGGGTTTGGGGGGGGGGGGTGGGGGGGGGGGGGGTGGGGGGGGGGGGGGGGTGGGGGGGGGGGGGGGTGGGGGGGGGGGGGGGTGGTGGGGGGGGGTCGGGCTTTGAGGTTGCCGGGTTTAGGGTTTGTAGGGTTTTAGGCTGTTAGAGCGTTTTGGGCTTTAAGGGCTTGGCATTTTTTAAGGGTTTGGCATTTTTTTGGCTTTGTTGAAGGGATTTAGCCTCATCTTCGTCGCCGAGTAGGTAGCTGTGAGGGGTTTATGATGCGTAATAATAACTAGGTTAGCGTGCCTTTTCTTCACTGGACGCGGCCTCTTCTTGACAGTGCGTTTCTGCTGGCAGGCGTAGTACGGAGCAAGAGAGCAGTTTTGTCAGCGTGCTTAAAGCTATTTTTTTTGGCACCTTGCTTTGGGCTTTCAGTGCAAGTGTGGGGCCTGCTCGACAAAGGCATGAACCCTTGTGACAGCTTTTGTTCCACATCCTTGTGCAGTACGTTGTGCAAAGAGATGAAGATGCTGCAAACAACAGGAACCGTGGAAACGAAGGAAGCAACTAGTGAAATTAAAGCGTGTCGGCCAACTACAAATTCACTTTCAGGCCTCCTAAACCATCAACGAAAACCCTAAACCCTAAACCCTAAACCCTAAACCCTAAACCCTAAACCCTAAACCCTAAACCCTAAACCCTAAACCCTAAACCCTGGACTCCCTCTACCCTTAAACTGGGGGGGGCTTCTGTTGGGGAAGGATCCCGAGATGCTGGAGCTTGCCGGGGACTTGGCGATGGAGTCTGAGGACGTGGAGGCGTTGGAGGCGGCAAGAGGAACACCGAACCCAAACCACGTAAAGCCCTGATCAGCGCTTTACGAGCCCTTTGTCAGCCTTTTATGAGCCACCGAGGGTGCGGTTTGGTTATGTGAGTAGGAGCCCTAGACCCATGAAGGCCCTCCGTGGAGTCAAATACATGGACCATACCCCTAAAAACCCAACGGTAATCCCAAAGCCCCTAAAACCCTAAACCCTTCAACAGCCTAAACAAACCCCAAAAAGCCAAGGGCTGCCCCCCCCCCCCCCAATCAAAACAAACAGCAGAACACCACGAAAACAAATAGAAAACACTAAAAGCCATTCCCAACAACTTCGCGCAGCCAACAGGTGTGGCTTCGCCAGGCGAAGGCCTGAAGAAGCCAACGCTGACGTGGAAGCTCGGGGTGTCCCCGTGGGCCTGCAGGGTTTCGGGGATAGAGCCTAAACCCTAAACCCCAAGCCTCAAACCCTAAACCCTAAACCCTAAACCCTAAACCCGAAACCCTAAACCCTAAACCTTAAACCCTGAACCCTAAACCCTAAACCCTAAAACGCCCTTGCGCTGCTGCTCAAGCATTTGGCCCTTACCGGCATTCGGGAGGCTTTGCAACTGAAAGGGTTAAGTGAGTTTAGGGTGAGGGTTGAGGGTTTTAGGGTTGAGGGTTTAGGGAAGCTTTAGTTACCCGGTCGTCGCGCTGGGGGTTATCAGGGGGTAGAGATGCATCTGCCCTTAAATCCTGAGCCCTAAACCTAGGCTCGACCCTAAACCTTAAAACCCCAATGCCCCAAACCCCCTAAACCCAAAACCCCTAACCCCTAACCCCTAAACCCTAAACCCCAAACCCTAAACCCCAACCCCAAACCCGAAACCCGAAACCCTAAACCTTAAACCCTAAACCCTAAACCCCAAACCCTAAACCCTAAACCCTAAAGCCCCTAAACCCCCAAACCCCTAAACCCTAAACCCTAAACCCCAAGCCCTAGCAGCCCCTGCCTCAACGTCGGCGCGGACATGGGCCGAGCTGGTGCGGAGACTCTGAGCCCCCCTCCGGCTTTGGTGGATGATCCCGACATCTCTCGGGACGCTGGGCCTCGTCTTAGGGTTTAGGGTTTAGGGTTTCGGGTTTAGGGTTTAGGGTTTGGGGTTTAGGGTTTGGGGTTTGGGGTTTGGGGTTTAGGGTTTAGGGTTCGGGTTTCGGGTTTAGGTTTTCGGGTTTTGGGTTTCGGGTTTAGGGTTCAGGTTCTAGGGTCTAGGTTGAGGGTCTTCTAAGCGAGGGCCCCTTTTTAAACCCTCAAATCCCAAGCCCTCAAAAGGCTCTTAAACGCCTTAACTAACAGCCCCCTAAGGCCCTAACGCCCCTAAACCCCTCAAACCCGCTCAACCCCCCAAAACCCCCTGAACCCTAAACCCTAAACCCTAAACCCCAAACCCCAAACCCTAAATCCTAAACCCTAAACCCTAATCCCCAAACCCGCAAGGAAGGCGCCGGCTTTGCCCGCCGTGGGGCGATGGGTGGCTGGGCCGAGGGGCAGCCCATGGAGGACATCCTTTGGGGGGGCTTTAGGGTGGGGGGGCGGGGGGGTTTGGGGTTTAGGGTTTAGGGTTTAAGGTTTGGGGTTTGGGGTTAGGGGTTTATAGGGTTTCGGGTGTCGGGTTCAGGGTTCAGGGTTTAGGGTTTGGGGTTTGGGGTTTAGGGTTTGGGGTTTGAGGTTTGGGGTTTGGGGTTTGGGGTATAGGGTTTAGGATATTGGGTTTGAGGTTGGGGGTTAGCGGTTGGGGTTTAGGGTTTATAGGGTTTATAGGGTTTGGGGTTTAGGGTTTAGGGTTTAGGGTTTAAGGGGGTTAGGGCTTAGGGGTTTAGGGTTCAAGGGGGGGCTTGGGGTGTAAGGGCCTAAGGGGGGGTTCAAGGGCTTCATGAATTGGAGGTTTTCGGTTCAAGGGTCCAAGGGCTTGAGGCTTAAAGGTCTTTGGGGCTTCCTGGAGCTCAAGGGCTCAAGGGCCTCGGGTGCTCAAGAGCTTACAAGCCTCATGTGAGGCATGGGGGCTTTGGGTGTTTTGTGTTGTGGGTTTAGGGGGTAAGGGTTTGGGGGTTTCAGGGTTTAGTGTTCAGGGGTTTCAAGGTCCCAGGGTTTCCAGAACCCATCGAGATCGGGATGGAGGCAGGTCAAGGAATCACAAGACCCCAAACCCTCAACACGAAGCCCCTGGCTGCAGTTTGGGTGACCAACCCCATTCTCCGAAGAACCTGAACTTTCTAAAGCCAAAGCCCCGTAAGCCCCCAAGCCCTAAACCTAAGCCCCAAGACGCTAAGACCCAGAACAACCCTAAACCCTAAACCCTAAACCCTAAACCCGAAACCCTAAACCCTAAACCCTAAACCCTAAACCCTACACCCCAAGGCCGCACACCCCAAAACCCAAATCCTAAACCCTAAACCCGAAGAGCCCTGAGAGCCCTAAGAACCCTAAACCCTGACAACCCTAAGAACCCTCAACAACCCCACAGACCCCAAAGGCCCCGAAGACCCTAAAGGCTGGGTTTAGGGTTTAGGGTTTAGGGTTTAGGGTTTAGGGTTTAGGGTTTAGGGTTTAGGGTTCCAAGAAGTCCAAGATCCCCCAAGACCCCAAAGGCTGGGCAGCTGGCGCGGTCGCGGCGAGCGGCCGAAAGTTTGGCCGTGGCCGCCGCGCGGGCACCGGACGAGGTTGGGGAAGCCTTCGGAAGGGGAGGGGAGGAGGGAACCCTAAACCCTAAACCCTAAACCCTAAACCCTAAACCCTAAACCCTAAACCCTAAACCCTAAACCCTAAACCCTAAACCCTAAACCCTAAACCCTAAACCCTAAACCCTAAACCCTAAACCTAAACCCTCAACCCTAAACCCTAACACCCCCTAGACCGCCAAGTCTCGAAGGTGGCGCAGTGGATCGCCGCCTCGAGCCGCACGCGCGGCCAGACGGGTAGCCCACTCCTGGACTGGGAGGCTTGCCAGCTCTTAGTTTAGGGTTTGGGGTTTAGGGTTCAGGATTTAGGGTTTCGGGTTTAGGGTTTAGGGTTCAGGGTTCAGGCTTCAGGTTGTAGGGGTGGGGGTTTAGGGTTTAGGGTTTAGGGTTTAAGGTTTAGGGTTTAGGGTTTAGGGTTTAGGGCGACATGGTTCCTTAGGATGGTCCCTTACCTTCTTTCAAGGGTTCTGAAGTATGGAGCCCTTGGATTTCAAAGGGCAGATAAGGGGCATCTACTTGGAAGTTTATGGTACTGATGAACCACTTATAAGCCCCTTAAGTGCCCTGATATGGTTACAAGTACAGTTATGATTGGTTAATAAGTACCATGAACCTCCAAGTAGGGAGTCCCTTTCTAAGGGTCCTTAAAGTAGTCCTTGAACCCTAAACCCTAAACCCGAAACCCTAAACCCGAAACCCTAAACCCTAAACCCTAAACCCTAAACCCGAAACCCTGCATTCCCTGTTTCCTTCGTTCCCCATGGAGCACTACCCCAAGGAGAAACTGGAGGTGGACCATGAGGCCCTGAGGAAGGAGCGACAGAGGGAGGTGCCGGTGGGGGGCCCGGGGTTGAGGGTGGCTTTTTGCTTTTGATGGGGGTGGGCTTAGGGTGGGCTTAGGGTAGGCTTAGGGTAGGCTTGGGGTAGGCTTAGGGTGGGCTTAGGGTGGGCTTAGGGTGGGCTTAGGGTAGGCTTAGGGTGGGCTTAGGGTGGGCTTAGGGTGGGCTTAGGGTGGGCTTAGGGTGGGTTTAGTGTGGGTTTAGGGCGGGTTTAGGGTGGGTTGAGGGTGGGCTTAGGGCTTTAGAGTTTTGAGGGCTCTGGTATTGTGAGAGCTTTGCAGGGGCTGAGGGAGGTGTGCTAACCCTAAACCCTAAACCCTAAACCCTAAACCCCTTAACCCTAAACCCTAAACCCTAAACCCTAAACCCCTTAACCCTAAACCCCAAACCCCAAAACCCCTGAACCCCAGGCGGCCCGGGCCGCCCTTCGGAAGCAGCGCCTGCGGGCCGTGGCGGGTGAGGGCGAGGCCCATCCGTCTCCCCAAAATCCTTCGAAGGCCCACCTGGCCCCGGTGTTCCCCCACAGCCCTAAAAGCTCAGGAAAGTCCTAAACCCTTTAGAGGACCGAAGCCCTCCCTTCTTCGACTTTAATACTATAACATCATTTCTATCATTACCATGATACGTATTATTACTACTATAAGAGTAAAAAATATAATCATTATTATTATCATAATCAAGATCATTGTTATTGCTACGTTTCTTTTTTTTAACGAAGGCGGACTGCAAGACGCTGGACTCCGAGGGCTCCCAAGAGGACCTCGAGCTGCAGCTGAGCCGCGCGGCCGAGGCCGTGCCGGAGGCCTCCATGAGCATCTTCCGGGCGGGGGAGGCGCGGAAAAGCCCTAAACCCTAAACCCTAAACCCTAAACCCTAAACCCTAAACCCTAAACCCTAAACCCTAAACCCTAAACCCCCGAAACCCCAAGACGAAACCCTGAAGGTGCCGGCAGAAGGTCGGGGGGCGCCGGCGTCGGCTCGCACACCACCCTCGGAGTCCGCAGGCAGCGCCGACACCGCCTTGCCCTACCAGGGCAAGGTCTACAAGGGCATGGCGGCAATTCGGCTTCCATTTGGGGGTGTAGGGTTTAGGGTTTAGGGTTTAGGGTGTAGGGTTTAGGGTTTAGGGTCTTGGGTAGGCGTTGGGAGGTTCCCCCTTACACTAGCCATGCTGGGTTTAGGGTTTAGGGTTTCGGTTTAGGGTTTAGCGTTACAGTCCTTAATAGGTACCCCCCTGTTCTATAGTCCCTGTGAAGGGCTGTTGGTATAAGGGGGAACATCCCAAGGCTTCCATTGTAAAGTTGAGGGGGAGGTTGAGGGGTTTGTAAAAACCCGCAAAACCCGCAACCCCCCCCCAAAAAAAAAACAAAACAACAAATCCAACAAAACCCCCAACAAAACCCCAACAAACCCCCAACAAAACCCCCCCCCGCCCCCCCCGAAAAACCCCCCAAAACCCAAAAACCCAAAAACCCCACCAAAAACCGCAAAACCACCCCCCCAAAAACCCCCCAAAAAAGACCCACAGCGAGAGCCACAGGTCCGGCCCCGTGGCTGCGGCACCCCGAGGCGGAAGATGCTGGCCGGGGAGGTCTACCGGAGCTCCCTGGAGGTGGCTGAGGTTTTTTGGAGCTGAAGGGCTTAGGGGTTGGGGTTTAGGGTTTAGGGTTTAGGGTTTAGGGTTTGGGGTTTAGGGTTTAGGGTTTAGGGTTTAGGGTTTAGGGTTTAGGGTTTAGGGGAGCTTTAGGGCTTGGGGGAGTTTAGGGCTTTAGGGTTTTTAGGGTTTAGGGGTTTAGGGTTCAGGGGAGGAGCTCTAGGAGTTGAGGGACTTAGGATTTTCGGCTGGTTTTTGGGTTGGGGGGCTTCGGGGTTGGAGATGGGGGATTCAGCGGTAGAGAGCTTCCCCCCCTCCACCCCAAGCAGGTGCAGGAAAAGGGCGAGGGCTACGCCCTCTCTCCGGGCCGGGTGCTCTCAACCAGGCCGCACTATCAGGCCGGGGACCAGCTGACTTAAGCCGTTGGGTTTGAAGAGCGGTTTAGGGTTTAGGGTTTAGGGTTTAGGGTTTAGGGTTTAGGGTCGGGTCGTTAGAGTGTTCAGAGGGGGATTCCATCAAGACCCCAAGGTTTAAACCCTGAACCCCAGAAACCCTAAACCCAAAACCAAAAAAACCCTGAACTTAAACCCTAAAAAAACCCTGAGCCCTAAGGAAACCCTAAACCCTCCACCCCAAGGTGCCGGACGAGAACCACGCGGAGGTCGCGAAAGCCGACGCCCCAAAGCAGCGCGGCATCCTCGGGTGGTTCCACTGAGATGGCTTCGAGAGCTCCCCCTGATGGAGCAAGGTCGCCCTGTGTCGCACGGCAAGCGACCCGAGTTCCTCCTCGAAGTCTCCCTCAGCACCAGAACATGTCGACGCGACAGCCGCGCCGGTACGTCTTCAGCAAGCTCAGAGCACTGAATCTCTTGCGCGAAGCTTCTCTTTCGACCTGGACGCCACCAACAACTGCATGACTGACGCGCTCCTGCAATATTCCTCAGGAAGATCTGGAATCACGATCGAGGACCCGCACAAGAAACAAGGGGAAAGATCACCCCAAAATCGGCGTTTGAGGCGACTGGCTGGACATGGGGACTCCGTTGCGCGCAAACTTCGGCTTTCGTTTTGTTGTGTCGGTCAACAGACGTGAAGCCCTACCGTGTCGCAGGCAAAAACCTTCCAGGTAGTGCCAGGTTCGGGTTCGTGACGGCACACCTAGGGGGGGAGGCGCCTTCTTTTCAAGAAATGAGTTCTGCTGCGGTTTTATTGGTGGTCTGGAGGGTTCACTTCCTTCCCCTCTTCCCTGCTCTTGTAAGTCACAGCAGTAGTTTCCCTTACCTCTAGAGGGGCTTGGGGTTTTTGGGTTTAAGGCTTAAGGTTTAGGGTTTGGGGTTTAGGGGCTTACAGGTTTAGGGCTTGGGGTTTTAGGGGTTTAAGTTTAAGGCTTAAGGTGCAGGGTTTGGGGTTTAGGGTTTAAGGCTTGGGGTTTACAGGCTTGGGCACCCGAAGACAGTCCAACCCATAAACGGCCCCTAAAGCCCTAAGCTCCCTTGAGCCCCAAGCTCCCTTGAGCCCCAAGCTCCCTGACGCCCCTACGCTGAAGCCTTCAAGCCCCCAGGTCAAGGCTCGGGGGTTTTAGGGTTTAGGGTTTTTTTAGGGTTTAGGGTTTAGGGTTTAGGGTTTAGGGTTTAGGGATTGGGGTTTAGGGTTTAGGGTTTAGGGTTTAGGCTTCGGGGCTTTGCGCGGTTTAAGGATCAGGGTCTGCCTTTTCAAGGCGGCCCAGCTCCCGGACGAGAAGCTCCGCCCCAAAGAGGCGCCACTTGGAGGTTCATGGTTACTTGATCCCTAAACCCCAAACCCTAAACCCTAAACCCCAAACCCTAAACCCAAACCCCTAAACCCTAAACCCTAACCCCTAAACCCCTAAGCCCCTAAACCCTTAAACCCCTAAACCCCTAAACCCCTAAACCCCTAAACCCCTAAACCCCTAAACCCCTAAACCCCTAAACCCCTAAACCCCTAAACCCCTAAACCCCTAAACCCCTAAACCCGACAAGTCTACTTATAACCTACTTAGGGGACTTAGGGGGCTTACGGGTACAGTTATCAGTAGGGTAGTAAGTACCCATGAACCTCCAAGCACCTTCGCACACTGCGGAGGCGACAGGGGCGGGTCAACAGGAGCTGGGAGTTTAAGGTTTTCAGGCCCGAAAATCCCCAAACCCCTAGGGTTTCGGGTTTAGGGTCAAGGGTTTAGGGTTTAGGGCTTAGGGATTCCGAGGGTCCGGTTTCGGGTTTAGGAGGGCTGGTGTGGGCGAAAGGGTCGCAGTTGGATGTCATGTCGAAGCTTCGCAGGGAAGCAGCATCTACCTAGGACCTCCAAGTGGCCCGTACTCAAAAAGTGTTTCATGGGCCCTTAATCTGGTCCCTTGCCTCCCTTACAGGGCTCTGATGGTATGGGCCCTTAATGTGTACAGGGGCATATAAGGGGCATAGAAGGGGCACCCTTCTAAGGGCCCATGCTACGGGAGCATGCAGCTACCCTTGGAAGTAGACTTTAGCCCCCGCAGGAAAATCCTAAGCCCTATCTGCCCTGATACCCAAGGAGCCGTGGACACCAAACCCTGGACCACCCGAAAACCCTCAACCCGAAGGGTTTAGGGTTCAGGGTTCAGGGTTTAGGACTTCGGGTTTAGAGTTTAGGGTTTAGGGTACCCCCTTAAACCTCAGAAGCCGGAACTCTAGGATCCTATAAGCCGTAAAGCCCGAAGCCCTAAACCCTAAACCCTTCAAACCTCCCCCAAGCCCTCTTCAGGGTTGATAGGGTTTAGGGTTCAGGGTTTAACCCTAAACCCTAAACCCTAAACCCTAAACCCTAAACCCTAAACCCTAAACCCTAAACCCTAAACCCTAAACCCTAATTCAGGGTCTCCTAAACCCAGTGGTAGCCAGGATCGGCTGGCATCCCTCCGTCTTCATTCGCGGCAGAAAGCCGCTCGAGAGGCGTAAGAGAGCAGTTTGGGTTTAGGGTTTAGGGTTTAGGGTTTGGGGTGCGGGATTTAGGGTTTAGGGTTTAGGGTTAAGGGTTTGGGGTTTAGGGTTTAGGGTTCTTGGGGGAGTTGCTTTGGGCTTCGGGTTCTGGGGTGGGGTTCCCAAGTGCTACGAAAAGTTGCTTGAGGTGTTGGTGTTTGATTTGAGGGTTGCTGGTGTGGGATTCAGGTCAGTTCAGATCTGAGGCTTTAAAGTTTTTGGGTTGAGGATTCAGGGTTTTGCGAAGGTGTTGTGGAGCCTTGTTTGGCCATTGTCCTTACAGCGCCAGTCATAGGGATGGGGGATGCGGGGTGCGGGGATGGGAGTGGATGTAATGTATTGGGTCGGGATATACCTTTACGTGAGCCTTTCTAAGCTTATGAGTCCTGTTAGCATAGTACACCCCCCCCCTCACCCCTTATGAGTGTGTGGACACTCTTTCTTTCATAGTCTCGGGCTCATAGGACTACACCCTGAACCCTAGCATGCATGATTGAGCCGGAAGGCAGCATTTGGGGCTTAGGGGTTTGGAACAGGGGCATTGGTATCCCCCAAAATGCTCATGAAGCAGCCGTCGTGTCGATAACAAGCCCCCCCCCCCCCCCCCCCCCCAAAAAAAAAAAGAAACACAAAGAAAAAACATCCTCAACGCTGAACTAAACCCAACCCTCACCCCTCACCCCTCAACCCTAGAAACCCTCATGCCCAACACCTCGGCCAGAAGTCTTCACCATAAGGCCTTCACCCCAAACCCGATTACACCCTCTAGAAGAGAGCCCGACAGCCCCACCCTGAACACGCAAACCTGGGGTTCGAAGGAAGCGAGAGCACAAAGTGGCCATAACAGGGTTTAGGACTTGGGGTTCTAGCGCAAGCAAGAAACAACAAGAAAGCACCCTTATGGCATCGAGTTCCATCACACGTATTCCTCCCCCCCATAAAGTTTCGAACAAAAAAACATCCCAAACCCTTGCAGGAAGCCGCAGCACGTTTCGAGGAGGCGCTCCGGGGCGAGGACTCGTTGTTTTGGGTAAAGCTCAGGGTTTAAGGGTGGGTTTAAGGGTCAAAGGGTTTCGGTTTCGGGTTTAGGGTTGGAGGGCGTTTAGGGTGTAGGGTTTTTGGGTCTAGGCAGCGTTTCCGGGTCGCAGTGGTTTGGGGTTTTGGGTGCAGGCTTTTCTTTGCGGTTGAGGGTTCAAGATTCAGGCATAGCTTCGAGTCGAGGCCTGGCCTCTGGAAAGGCGCAGAACATGGCCCCTCAACTCTGGCCCCGCGGTTTAGGGTTTAGGGTTCAGGGTTTAGGGTTCCAGAAAAACAACAACGACATCTAGGGTTGCAAGTTGAGGCTTAGAGGGCTCAGGGTGACCCTGAGCCCTAAACTCAAAGGAATCCCGGAGCTGTCTCGCGGGAGGACTCGGCAAAGCTCGAGGCAGCGGTCTCCGCCGCAGCGGAGGCGAGACTGGGTCTGGGGTTAAAGCCGTGAACTCAAGACACTTAACCCCCCTTTCGCGTAGCTTTAACAGCCTACATGGGTGGTTGTCAAGATTATGGTCCCTTTTTGGATCCCTATCTGTACCCCAAAAGGGACCATCATTTTGACAACCACCCATATGTATGCCAAGTATACCTAAGTATTCCTCGACCTTTAAACCCCCTTATAGACTCCAAAGCCCCAACCACCAAACTGCAAAGCCCTAAGCCCTGAACCCTTAAACCCTGAACCCTACCCGAAACCCTAAACCCTAGATCCTAAACCCTAAACCCTAAACCCTCATCCCTCAACCCTCAACCCCTCACCCCTCAACCCTCAACCCTCAACCCTCAACCCTCAACCCTCAACCCTAAACCCTAAACCCTTCGACCCAAGCCTTCAATCCCAAAAGGCCCCCCTATCCCCTTAACTATGGCCCGAACCCCTAAAGGCCCTAAACTCTTGCCAACGTTGAAGCCCTAAAATCCTGAACCCCTAAACCCCAGCCCCAAAACCCCAACTATCCCCTAAAGCCCCGTGAAACCCTAAACCCCCTAAGTCCTTCCCCCCAAACAACCGCAAACAGAGCCATACACCCTAAACCCCAACCCTAAACCCTAAACCCTAAAGCCTAAACCCCAAACCCCAAACCCCAAACCCTAAACCCTAAACCCTAAACCCCAAACCCTGAACCCTAAACCCTAAACCCTAAACCTCCTCATCGAGGCGGCGGCCCTGCCGCTCGCCTCGGCCGCGCGAGCGGCGGATCGGCTGCAGGAGCTGCGGAAACTGGAGGCCAGGGTTTAGGGTTTAGGGTTTTGGGTTTAGGGTTTAGGTTTTAGGGTTTAGGCTTTAGGGTTTAGGGTTTAGGGTTTGGGGTTTAGGGTTCAGGGTTGAGGGTTCAGGGTGGAGGTTTAGGGTTTGGTTTGGAGTGGTTAAGGGCTTTTAGGGGGAATGAGGTTTTGGCTTGTAAGGGTCTGGATCAGGGTTGGTTTAGGGTTTAGGGTTTAGGGGTTAGGGTTTTGGGGTTTATGTGGGTTGTTCGACAGATTGGGTGTTGGAAATCAGCAGGGTGGGGGTGTCATATTACACCCTAAACCTCAAATCCCTATCCCGCCAAGCCAACCGGAATTCATACATCAAGGGAGTCATGCTCGGACCCCTAAGCCTGTACCCTTGAGAGCTTCTCCTTATACGGCCCTTATCTTCCCTTAGAGGTTCTTGAAAAAGGGTCCCCAAACCCAAGGGTACCACCGCGTTTAGGGGGGGTTGAG